AAAAAAAAAAAAAACAGAGTGGACAAATCAGCATGCCTGTAATCTCCCTAATAATTCATAAAAGCTTCTAGACTGAGTAAACAGGTTAGCAGCATGACAATTACCTTCATCAAAGAAAATACTTTAACCAACTGTTCTTTCAGCATGGCCGACATTTCAACATCCAGCCGAGCTGCATCAAACTGATTTACTCTAGATATCTCGACCGGGACTATCGGCTGCCAAAAAGACCAGGCAAATAATTGCAGCAGAGTGTGAATGTGAAGCCAGTCGGTTTCACTTACAAAATGTAAAACAAATACTTAACCGAAGTAACAAAACCTAACAATTCTAAGAGTAAGTCCGTTCTAAGACAAAAGTTCCACTTGTGCTACAAAGAAAATAGATTATGGGAGCAAGAATATAGGCTGAAAATGCCTTAATTTCTTAGACAATGATGCAAATGCACTAAATATGAGTAGTGTGCGAATTTCTCAAACAGGCATTCCGATATGGCAAAAAAACACAAATGGGATTATGTACTAGAAGTAGCTTTAATTATGGTCTATGCTCATCTCGTCGGTATTAGAACAAAATAAAATTTCCCGAAAAAGTTGAAACATCAAGCATTCTACATTCACAAGGAGCATATATAGTTGACTAGTTATAATGAACTCTGGAACACACCTCACAATATTCACATACAAACATTAATCACTTAATGATAAACCTGCCCAGTTACAAACGAGAGACATTAATGCAAGAAGAAAGCAACTACCTATTTGTAATAAAAATTAAAAAAATCCTAAAATATGAACAACACATGTCGAGTCAAAATCCTAACACCAGCTAACAAAACGTCAGTTATGACGTTAAACCTAACACCAGCTAACAACCTCGGGGTTCTGTTTTGCAGGCATCGGAGCAAAGGAGACAAGTTCGGGAAGACGTCGGAGCATACATCAATCGTCGCCACGTGTCCTCGGACTAACGCCAGGTAATTCTTGTACTATCACTTCCAAATTCAATAGAAAGGGAAAAAAAAAAAAAAA